TATTAATATATTATCATACGTAAACGGTAATTGGAATAAAAATTACATGGCAAACGTGTTGCACGTGCCGGGACTAAAATTTAATTTATTTTCGTGCGGATCCGCGATGGATAAAGGTTTAGTATTGACGTCAGATAGTAAGACCAGTGCCGTAACTAGAGAGTCAAAGGCCCAGGTGCAAACAAAATGCATGGGCCCCTCTTTCTAGAGATACATAAAAAAAACTTGTAAAATAAACTACATAGGTAGATAAAATAAATAAATTACAAAAAAAAAATAATAGTTTTAGTTTTCATGACAACAGTTTTCATTATAACACTAGAAATAAAAATAAAAATAATTATAACTATCATTATATTATAATAATATACCTATTACATATTTTATAATGTTTAATTATTAAAAAAACATTTTCTTCCGAGCTTTTGCATTTGCAAAATCAGCAATAACCTTTTTGATATTAATTTCATCAGTACGACCTCTTTCAATACTTAATACTGATATATTACAATTTGTTAGTGTGTGTGTTAGTAGCGGTATCGCGATATCACGTATAATAATCAACAAATCTATTGATGTTACTCTTGGCTTAGTAAATTTCCCAATATTTTGATTAACAATTCCAAGTAACGGACCAGGCTATTAGTTTTTACATTGCCGTTTATGAAATTAAATACAAGATAATAATACAATTATTATGAATTAAATTTAAAAAAAAAAATGACATCTATCCGACCAAGGCCCCAAGGGCCCTTTGACCCTGCGGGCCCCAGTGCTGTGCACCGCCTGCACCTATGATTTTTACGGCACTGAGTAAGACGTGTATGTTAACTAAACAGGGGAAACCCGTATGCTCAGGTAAGAGATGCGGAAGGTTGTTTGAGTTAAACATCAAGGTCGAAGTACCGACAAACGGGTACGCGACGGTAGCTGTCGAAAACAGGTTGTCTGTTTGGCACGAGCGCATGGCACATCAGAATTTACAGTACGTAAAAAGTTGTTTGGCGAAACACGAAATAGTATGTTCGGCCAAGGACGACGAATTCATGTGCAGCAGTTGTATAATAGGTAAACAAAGTCGTAAATCATTTAGTAAAAGTAATACGGAGTATCACAATGTCGGTGATTTAATCCATGCAGACCTATGTGGACCAATGGAGGTAAGCTCTATAGGCGGTTCAAAATACTTTTTGTTATTCAAAGACGACTACTCGCATTATAGAACGGTATATTTTATTAAAAATAAATATGATGTTAAAAATATTTTTGAGACGTTCATAAAAAGTGTTGAAACAGAAACAGGTTCTAAGGTCAAAATATTACGAACGGATAATGGATTAGAATTCGTAAATAAAGAAATTACGGGTATTTTACAAAAACACGGGATTCGACATCAGTTAACAGTTCCCTACACACCACAGCAAAATGGAAAAGTGGAACGGGAAAATCGTACAATAGTAGAGTCAGCGAGGACAATGATTTGTGCGAAAAATTTGGATGTATCACTTTGGGCGGAGGCGGTAAACACGGCTGTTTACACGCTTAATCGAACAGGAACCAGTTCAGTTAAAAATAACTCACCATACGAGTTATATTACAAGGTAATGCCAGACATTAAACACTTACGAGTTTTTGGTACTGTCGTATATACACACATACCAAAGCAAAAACGTAAAAAGTGGGACCCTAAAAGTGAAAAAGGAATATTTGTTGGATATTCGAACAGCACGAAAGGTTATCGTGTATGGTATTCGAAAACAAATAAAATATCCGTGTGCAGAGACATTATATTCGAAGACGAATGTAATAATTATGAAAATGTAATTGCAGACACATTAGAGTTTACAGACACTCAAATTAATTCAACGGGCGTGCGTGAGAAGGACGAAAACATAGTCGATGATAGAAATGTTATTGTTCTACGTGACAGGAATACACTTAAGAAGCCGGACAGGTATAATGTTCAGACTTTTATTGCTAACTGTGTCAGTCCATTGAATTATGATGAGGCAATTACTGGGTCAAACAAAAATGAATGGAATAATGCTATGAACGACGAAATTAATTCATTACACGAAAATCAGACTTGGACTCTAGTCGATTTGCCACAGGATAAAGTTGCATTACGAAATGCATGGGTGTTCAAAACCAAATATAAAAGTGACGGTAATATCGATAAGTTTAAGGCCAGATTGGTCATTAAAGGTTGTTCACAGAAATATGGTATAGATTACCATGAAACATTTTCGCCAGTGGTCAGATACGAATCAATTAGGGCGATATTCGCAGTAGCAGCTGTGGAAAAATTAATACTACGACAATTCGACATCAAGACAGCATTTCTGTACGGAGAACTACAGGAAGAAATTTACATGGTACAACCACCAGGATACGAAGATGGATCCAATAAAGTATGTAAGCTTCAGCGTAGTTTATATGGCTTAAAACAAAGTCCAAGATGTTGGAATATACGCTTTAAGAACTTTTTGAATGCATTTGGTTTACAATGTACCGAAGCGGATGCATGTGTATTCAAAGCTGATAACAGCCAAATTATTCTTGCAATATTTGTTGACGATGGTTTAATCGCGGCAGATAATGAAGAGATAATAAAGAAACTTTTAACGAACTTGGAGAAAGAGTTTGAGGTTAAAAAGGGAAACTTAGAATATTTTCTAGGTATGCAGGTAAACTTAATGAAAAATGGTTCATTATTTGTGCATCAGACAAATTATGCATGTAGCATAATTAATAAATTTAATATGCTGGACGCCAAGGAACTTTCAATTCCGATAGACAAATCACATACTATTGAACAAAAGGAAGAATCGGAGATATTAAGTGAAGAAATACCTTATAGGCAGGCAGTAGGTAGCTTACTGTTTTTATCACAGGTAACAAGACCAGATATAGCATATGCAGTAAACTTTGCTAGTCGTTACTTAGCAAAACCAACTAAAGCTCATTGGAACTTGGTAAAACGGATTATACGATATGTCAAACGAACATTTAATTATGGCTTGTATTTTAATCATAATACACAATTGTCATTAGAAATATTTAGCGATTCAGATTACGCAGGTGACATTCAGACACGACGTTCAACGTCAGGATTTCTATTCAGATACGGGTCGAGCATAATTTCATGGACATCGCAGAGACAACATTGTGTGTCATTGTCATCGACCGAGGCTGAATATATTTCGGCCAGTGAAGCTGTCAAAGGGATCTTGTGGATTACACGGTTGATAACAAGCTTATCAACAACAGGTGACAAACAACCAGTTTTATTTATAGATAATCAGAGTGCTATACGTTTAGTAAAGAATCCGGAGTTTCATAAGAGGACAAAACATATAGACGTACGATATCACTTCATACGGGAGAAATACGAAGAGGGACAATTCCAACTACAGTACATTGGAACAGAGGACCAGATTGCGGACATTCTAACCAAGCCTTTGGTTAAGGAACGATTCGAGAAGTTGCGGTCAGCCATAGGAGTGACTACAATTAAAGAAATTATTAATTGAGGGAGGGTGTTGAAATATACAATTAATATTAGTATTCAAACCATGTAAACACACGTGCGTGTACAATGTCGTTTTCTAATAGATACTTATGCAGTTACGATATAGCTGTGTAACACCTTTACTATCGCTTTCTATATTATATACGGATACGGGATGGCCTCGATTGTTCATATAAATAGGGCCTTTGATGTATGTAATATTCACTTGCACAGACGCTGTCATACCGAGTGTACGCGGTGTGTGTGTATAGTCACAGTTTAATTGTCCAGTTGTACGTTATTATATATTATACTTATACATAATCATATTGTCGTGTTATTACTTATTATATTAATGCTAACATCATTAGTTCGTCAAGCTTCACTTTCAACAGTAATATTAACATCTGTTAGCCGGCGCTACGTATATGCAATTTCGCTACATTGACGTGTAGGTGGCATGGCACCTCTGAATTCTGTATTATCGCTGCCCGCTGGTCTTTAAACGGCCCTTTAAACTTACATTTTTACAATTTTACAATTTTTTTTATATTTTAAACAAATTGACAATAAATATTAAATAGCAACATTGCACATAAAATCGTACGTAATCGTGTTATTTTTGGAGTCATTACTCATTTTGACAATCTATTGTTTGATCAAAATCGTACGGAATCGTGTTGCCAAAAAGGTAAAACGTACGGAATCGTACTTTACCGTTGCACGTGACCTGTTTTTTTGCTTTTTGCTCAAAACATGCCTTACAGGAAAAACTCACCCCTCGTAGAATGATCGGACTTTGATATTTTTTTTTTTTTTGAAAGGAACACTTCTTACAGGGCGCTTTTGAGTTTTGACTAGGATTATCAAAATTCGTTTTGTAAACCATATAACACGATGTTGAATATGACAAATTTTCACAAACTTAGCCATAAAAATGTATAAAATGTTAATTTTGTATACCTAAAAATCAGAGATTGCGCTAAATAAATGTCAGTTGCCCATCCCGTTTGTTTTACAGAAGTCAAAAAAATTTGCCACTCGCTTATATATTATTTACCATCAAGGGGATTTAGTTTACAAGGGTACTAATTGATTCATGGAGATCTAACTAATCCCGGGGATCTAGATAACCATGGGGATCTTGTTGACCGAGGATCTAGGTGATAGGCCACCACTATAGACGGTACCTTTTATTTTTAATCGTGAGTGCACGGTTACTGGTTAGGAAACATCGAGATAGATAAACAATATTATTAGACATTACTACATTAGTATTGTTTATCTATCTCGATGAGGAAAAGTAACATTAGTTATGACTTCAGAACCAAGTCCATTTACTCGTCAAACTTGACTACCAGTTAAAAAGTATGACAGGTAAGAGCGAAAAAAATATCAATATATATAATAGAAAGCTAATTTATAATCTTTTTATAATATAAGCACCTATATACTATATTGTAGGTAATATAAAGTTATAAAAATAAAATTAATAATTTTCGTAGTTTATTATTTGTCCTCTACATAAAGGGCAAACATCGTAGATCTCTTGCCTCATTCTCCTAATGCAGGTTCTACAAAATGTGTGGTTGCATGGTCTTAAAGTGACTGCCACAACCTCATCAAAACAAATTGTGCACAACTCCAGAACTAAAAAAACAAAATAAATATTATAATGAAATCAATAAAAATTAAGAGCAAATAAGTATAAGTATGCATAGTTTGTATGTTAAAAATATCACAGGATATCTGTAGCATATTACAACTTTTAAAATTTTAATTCTTTGTAAAATTGTGTATTAATATACTTAATATTGATTGTTTTAAACATATTAATTTTACCACAAAATATAAAAATGTTAAATTCAAATCTAATTTGTATCAAAATTAAAATTGGTGAACAAATTGTTTTAAGTTTGTCACTATTTTTGTGTGCAAAATAAAAAAAAAATAGAACTTAAACAGTTGTATACATTTTACAACTTATTTTATGTTGAAAATTACATTTTAGAAACTATAAATAACTTAAACTTATAATTCTTCAAAGTAATTAATAATAATTATTGTACAACTCCAAGCCTCTAAGTCTAAAATCTCCAGATATAGTATTAATATAATATATAATATATATCATATTCATATTTGATTTTATAAAGAGCAACATTTAAGTACAAGGAGTATAAGGAGTATAAGGAGTATAAGGAGTATAAGGAGTTTAATAGTACAACAGAACTCTTTGCATTAAATTAATAAAACAAAATTATTACTTTCTTGTTCAGAGGATCTCGATCTTGCTCTTGCTTCACGGGATCTCGATCTTGCATCACGGGCATCTCGGTCTGCAAAGAATTCAGGAAAGGCTTCTTCCATATTCCTTACCCTTTGGCGACCACGGTTTTGAGGTTCATGAGGACCTGAAAATATTGAATTCGAGTCATAAAAATTTACAATGGCCATTAACTAAGTCTAGTGCATAGTAAGTGATATTTTTGGTTTTAAAGAAAGTGTTGTACTCATTTTATATGTCTAATATTTAATTAAATAGATAGTTGTTTGAAATATATTCTGTATTTATATGAAATGTGAACTTACAGATACCTAATAGTTTTTTTTTATAAAATGTCACTTACAGTGGCATAATTGGTGTGGCAAGTGTAACATTTGGCATTTGCTAACACCAAAACATTGTTAGGTGTTGCAAAAGTATTGTTTTGCAAGTTGCAACACCATAAAATGGTTACTTTACATTTAATGTAAACCAAATTATGCCACTGGTGGTACTACACTTGCGCTCTAGCTAGACCATCAGTGTGATACATTTTAGATTTGTACCTCTCAAATAGGGTTGACCTCTTCTTTGACGAATCCTACGTCTAGCTCTAACTTCAGCTGGTTGAATTCCTGGAGCCTGTTCAACTAGTGGAATTGGCAATAGTGGCGGTTGGACTGCTGGGAGTACAGCTAACGGTAGTGGACGTAGTGGCGGCTGGACTGCTGGGAGTACAGCTAACGGCGGTGGACGTAGTGGACCCAGTGCTAGTTGTCTTATAACTCTTCCTCGAGGGGGTAATGGATTTTCCAAGTTAATATCCAGCACTGCATATTAGATGGTAAGTCTAATTAAGCATCAATCTCATAATAACAATAAAAACAATGGTATGGAGCAAATTATGCCAAGAGGATAAAAAAAAAATATAGAAACATTTGAAACTTATTGCTGGCAATGTATGGATAATCCCCTGACAGAAAAGTTGTCAATTGAAGAAGTGTAATAATGATGGTAAGATGATGAGAATTATTATAAGGAAGATAATCGTAGAAAGAAGAAATAAATGGATAGAGCCCCTCATAAGGAACAAACATAACCACCATAATATAATGACAATTTCAGAGGAAACCAGGGAAAAGAATATATTGATGATAAAAAATATGTTGGATATAGGATGGGGTCCTACTAAGAAATGAAGGAAGCTACTCCAGATAGAAAAAAATAAAAAAATATATTATTTTCTTACATCGTTCAAAGTTTGGCTCTCCAATTTGGTTCCTTATTATTTGTTCTGGAATATAAGACACATTTCTTAAAAATTCCCTTACATCATAATTTCCAAGCTCTACTAGCCTCCAAGCATTCTTAATAGTTGTGGAACACCTGGTACTATTTGCTGAATAGGTTGCCTGTCTTACCTATGAAGTATGAATTAATAACAAATTAGTAAATGTAAATATTAATTTATTATTCATACAAATCCAAACATTATAATAAATAACAAATGAACATTAGTGTCTGTATGAAATTAAGTGGTAAATAATCATATTTATACCTGCTGTCCATTTACTGCCCTTCTCAAATCATTTCTTGACCTCTCCTCTATTGTTCGTAAGTGATCTAAAAATATTATCCAGTTAAAATTTTGATTACTATTTACTATATTATTTAATTATAATGTATTTTAGATTTCAACTAACCATAGAACTGATAGAGGGATGGATGTTGACCCATCAATCTTAGCAGTGAACTGCGATAGGATTCAATATAATTATTTGTCCTATGTTGCAGTCCAAAAACAGAAAATCTACGGGAAGTCACTGTGTCGATCCAGTACCGTTGAAAATACTGCATAATGGCATGTAGTTCTACTTCAAGATGGTATTCAGTAACTATAATATGATAATTAATAATAATCTAAAAAATTGACCAACATGGCAACATCATACAATAATTTGTAATAATATTATGAACTACAAACCTACTTATTATAGGAACAGTACAAGATAAATTACCCATGTCTTGAACAACACGAAATCCCAATTGAATAGAAAATGCCACACCATGATGCAGTATTTCTTCGGCAGGCAAGTGTGCCAATGACATCAACTGAAATTGTACAGATGCATGTAAGAAAATTTTTTTCTATAATAAGTGTATTATGTATTATGAACCATATTTCCCTGTTTCCCTTTCATATGCAAACATATTATAATTAATTATTTGCAATTAACATTTTAAATCCAAACTTCTCTAATTAACATGAATATATTATCTGTATGTAACAGTGTAATATTAATATGTTATATTCATGATTAAGTTGAATGCAATTTTATTAATAAATATACTGGCCAAAAATTAAAACTAAATTTACAATTATATAAATTATTATTAATCTTGAAAAATGTTGAATAATTACTATTACCTACTACCAACATCTGTATGTATTTTCATACTTTTATCGATTAGTCAAAATAATAGCTTCTTTATTCCAAAATATGTATCAGAACATAACGATTAAAAACGATTTATAACGATTTCTGTATACATTTTATTTTGTATAGATATGCATATTTAGGATTTTGTACATTTTTAAGACGTTTTCAACCCAATGAATCGAGAATCACAAAAAATTTTTTAGATTTATGAGTACAGTATATTTATGCATTCAGCAGACTGTAAAGTATTGTAAACCGAGAATTTTTGTTCCAAATTCTGAAATACCACACCCTTTTTTTAATAATAATTTAAATAATTATCAGTACAATATGTAAAATATAAATCATCATTTAATTTAAAATAATATACAGTATGTCCCAAAAGTCCCGTATCACCCTTAATATCTCCATGTAAAATCACTATATTTAAACGCGGATTTTTTTACAGTACTAAGTATGAAAATTCTGATTGAATGGCATAAAATTCATTTATTTTTTCTTTAAATTCAAAAATTTTCAAAAAAATTTTTTACGCATTTAAGAATTTAAAATTTTTAAGATAGCCATTTTGTTGAGCATATTTTTTAAAACTGTTCAAAAAAAAAAAAATACTAAAATTAAATAAAAATTGACCAAGTTAGAGCAAGTTATGTTTTTGAATAAATGTATAGTAAAAAAATAAATTAGGAATGTAAAAGTATTGTCGTGTGCTGAAATTAGATATTTCATTATTGAAATGTGAAACAATAATTTATTTTTTTACTACAATTATTCAAAAACATAACTTGCTCTAACTTGGTCAATTTTTATTTAATTTTAGTATTTTTTTTTTTGAACTGTTTTAAAAATATGCTCAACAAAATGGCTATCTTAAAAATTTTAAATTATTAAATGCGTAAAAAATTTTTTTGAAAATTTTTGAATTTAAAGAAAAAAATAAATTAATTTTATGCCATTCAATCAGAATTTTCATACTTAGTACTGTAAAAAAAACCGCGTTTAAATATAGTGATTTTACATGGAGATATTAAGGGTGATACAGGACTTTTGGGACATACTGTATAAGAATTTATTATTGGTTTTTTCTTTTTTCAGAGCATATTTGAAGGCCATATCTTGGGAATTTTTAGTGCATAACTGGATACATATTTAATAGTATTATAGGATATATAATTATCAGCCCTAATTATTACCATTCTTAAGATCCTTCGAGCATTTTCATTTGAAGTACTTAATTGTACTAGCTGATTGCTCCTAATGAAACGGACGATACTCTGGAAAAAATGTTGTATAATTTTATTCTTATACAATATTCAATTATATCTATTTTTAACACTAACTTGGATAAAATGGAACCAACACCCTGAGTTGTTGACTTCGGGCAGTACTCTGTTAATTGCATTTCTTAGCGCTTGTTCAAAATCCGTTATTATTTGAAGATTTTCAAATTCAAGATTTAAATTTAAGTCATGTCTTACATATTGTAGGACTCTACAATATGACTCTGTTAGTCGATCTACCATTAGGACATGAACTATTGAAATTGCCTATGGAGTGGATAAATTACATACATTGTATAGTTGATTAGTATGTTATTACAATATGCATGGCCTATACTAAGCAAAAAAAAATTCAATAGTAACCACATTATTCAAAATAATTTGTATTGTGAACAATTGTTCAATATCTGGCGGTTGTCTTGGACGAATTTGGAATGTCCCATCCATGCACAGTGTCCTTACCGTTTGTATATGTACATTCATTTGGTTCAAGAATTCTACGTTTGTGAACACTAACCCAACAAAGCGAATGCTTCCATCATCCCTAAGGATTTCTAGGGAACCTTGAAAAAATGACTCATCAGTTGACCCATTGACATATAAGAGTCTCGCCCCAAACTCTTCTGAATTCATGATATCGAACCAATCACTCAACAATTGTGGTATAGAAGGATTCACTCTACTTCTTGCTCTGTGAATCGACCTAACTGCAGCTGGGCGTCCAATTTCCATTGCTATTTCAGGATTGCTATTAAAATGGTTTATTTGTGTTAAATAGATAGATCAAATATAATTTTATTCATACATCAAATTATATCTTATTTTAAATAGCTTACAGGTGAGCTTCTTGATCCACTATTATATGTGGAGGAATGTTTTCTGTCACTCCTTTTTCTCGTACCCTATTTAAAAACTGTCTTAGCCCGATCGTATAACGTGGTGTTGGTGTATGCCACTACCTACTTGAAACTTCCAAAGTGTACTATTATATATCTATGATAGTATCAGAATTCAGAGTTTGTTATTGATGTTGATGTATAACGTGTTATAAGTACCTAATGGATATTGTGATAATGTGATATGATTAATTTGGAATTTATTATAGGTCAATTTTTTTTTTAATACCATAGATATGTATATAATTTGTCTTAAACCTAGACTGACATACCGTCTTCGCTCAGAATCGTTTTTCTTATACAATGATATTGTATCATTGAATTCAAATTTAATAGCATCCATTATACAGTGACCCACTTGTAACCTACTGTACAGCAGAGCGACATCCACTTACCCACC